CATCATCATCATCATCATCATCATCATCATCATCATCATCATCATCATCCTCTTCCTCTTCCTCGTCCTCGTCCTCGTCCTCGTCCTCGTCATCCTCGTCGTCATCGTCATCGTCATCGTCATCGTCATCGTCATCGCATTTGTTGTGGTGCCAGGATCTGCAGCAACGGGGAGTGGCTGACGTCATCGTTGGGGCGCTGAGACTGATAAAGACTGGCCGCAGTTTGGCTCTGATAGAGGTCGGAGTTGAGAATGATCAGGTCCTGCTGCCTGTTGGCCTCTGACAGGCAACCACTATAGGACCCCAAATAGAAAGTTATCACTTATCAGACCCAAATACAAAGGTTGACTTACTTAATAGACTATCCCATATGATACCTCAGGTGACGGGTCCTACAAGGTCACTGGCTACCTCTGTTGGATTGTCGCTGTTCATCGCCTCAAGCGACAGGGGGAGAGGCACGTGCGCCACGCCCCTGGAGCGCCGGGTCCGACGGCTGGTCTGAGTAACTGGAGGATTCCACAGTGAAAGGAGTCCCAGTGACCTAACTTATCGGCCTGTTTGCGAACCCAAACTGGGATATCAAGTTTGGTCACTTTCAAAAAAAGCAGGACAATGGCAATGGTTGTGAATGTGGCAAATGCACAGGCTAAGCCAGACAGTCAGAGTCATATTCATTATGCAAGGACTGTCCTGCAACATGCGACCAAGGAGGTCACTGCGTAGATCAGCTCCCACCACTCTGAAAAAGCATCATACGGCCCAGATGAGCCTACATTCACTCCGCCCAAGCCACCCCATCTGATCGGCAAATATTCCATAGATGGAGTGTCCAGTGTCTGGTCTAGGTTCTACCAGTTCGTTGGCTTCCAAGATTTCGGGAGTGCTCCAGCGTTCCATCATGTTCCAGGCCATTGACCTGAGCCCTGCGCTGCAGAAGCTCCCTCACAGGTGGCGTGGCTTCGATCTCGGCGTTGTTCCATGTTGCTCCCCAAAGCGGTCCATTGTCATCCATGAACAGTCGGGAATCGTCGGAAAAGTTCTCTCCAAGTTTTTGAAGTCATTGATCGATTTTACGAAAAGCCAGCCGATAGGGCCGATAGGCTAGGCTGAAGCTATTTTACGGGGTCTGGGGGGCAGGTCGAGGAAAGTGGATGTCAACTGCTCTAGCCTGCTCGTGTTGCTTTGCCAAGGAGGTGATTTTTGGTGGGTTGGTGATGCAGAAGGTGCAAGGTGAATGGCTTAGGACCTGGATTCTCCCCAATGACCTGATTCTGATTTTGGGGCTCTGAAGTTTCTTCTTTTCTAGATTCTGCATAGCGAGCTGACTACGGCACCTCGCGAGTTGGGAAGCCTCGTCAAAATTGACTGCATCACCATAAAACATGTTTACGAACACATTTTATGACATGTTGGTTACAATGAGACACAATTGAATGATTTTGAGTATAAAGACAGTTTTAGCCATCCGTCTCGTGCTGCGCCAACGCCCCTCGCTGCACAGTCGATGCGAGGTATGGCTGTAAAAAAAGGGACTTCCAATCTTCGCTTCAAGCTGCTGCAACTCATGAGGTGGTGTCCTGTTTAACAGGCAATACTGTATATATAGGCCTAAGGATGTTATGCAGGCCTTTTCCTATCCCAAGATTTCGCTTGAAACTGCTTCAACCGAAGGAGTGGTCCCTCTTGGTCTAGGTTCTGGAAACCACCGAAGGCGTTTGAAGGTGCTTCTGATGAGCTGATGACCCCCTAACAGGCAATATGGCTTAAGCACATCCAGATCGTGAATGAATGAATGACTGAATGAATGAACAAAACATGAACGATATATGATAAACATGCGGTGCTCCCCTGGAGAGCTCTTGCATGTTTCCGCTTAACATCCAGCAGTCCCATGTCAGGCTGCCGAACTTGAAGTCGGGGTGCCACTTTTCAGCCAATGCCCCCTGTCAAATCTCACTGGTCAGGTCTTTTACAACCAGCCCAACATCACCAGCCCATGGAGTACTCCAGTCCCATCCACCATGACGACTCCACATATGTTCCGAATCCATCCCGGGTAGTTGACCTGGCAGATTCGGTCGCCCGTCCCAGCTGTCCTGGTCGATCTGAGTCGACCGAGGGGTCTTGCTCGATGCGCTGCCAGGTCGGTGCGCTGCCTCACAGAGGAGAGGTCGACCCGACCCGCCGGGTGAGTTTGGAAAAAGAAACACATGGTGTACAGCACATAGGTATACAGCATATAGTGCTTTCAGAGTAGATGGCACAGACCCCATGATGCCCTAGACAGATGGGTCCATATATAAACCACCGACATTGGGGTCTGTGCCATCTGCTCTCAATCCATTATAGGTTTACAGGCAGGCAAGTAGGCAGGTATTTGCATCCTTAGTCAAATCATGTCAAATCTCAATTCCTATTCCGATGTGTTCAGACATGTTATCCAAGCACGCATGTTTAGTTGTTGGGATATGATGCTAAGTCCATGTGATCCCGTTTCGAGACGCAATGGGGATAATATATTGGATGGTTCCTGCAGGTGGGTGAAAGTCGCCCAAACACGCTTTTGTGATGCTGCATGAAAGCCTGTGTGGGTGTGATAAAGGGAGGCGGAAGAAGGGAACTGGGGCAAGGGAACTTGTGTGAAAGGATTGGGGAAGGGAAGTGGAAGAAAGGAACTGGCCAAATGATTTGCAAAAAGGAAGACGTGACAAACAATTGATCTTATGGCTCAGGCATGAGCGGATGCTTACTCTGAAATGTATGAAACTTGCACATCCAGTGCGCCCAAACACCGACTGACTAGTGGAGGTGGCTGTCACTGGATTTTCACGGAGCCGTGGTTATAACAAACGTGGCTTTCGACGGGCTCTGACACTTTAATTGTATACTCTGGGGATCTCTAGGGTCTATCCGTGTGTCTCTACAGTATCCCTGGTATTTGAACGCACCATGTGTTTTTGAATGGTCTCTACCGACGCACCATTGTTTTACTATGTTTGAAGGGTTTTACAGTACCACAATGCCAGACCAACAATTTTAAAATGGTCAGACGGAATACCAGGGGTCTCATGGAGACCTGAGGGAACCGAGGGACGTCCCAGCTTCAGGACGCTCGGCACCAGACGCTGGGGCCCTAGGACACCGGGTAGGTCAACGGTACGGTCAGGTGGTGCCATGACCGCCTAGCCATACAGAAATGCTTGTGTTCGATACATCAAGATATATACTAAGACCACCTCCGGTCGGTAAGGATCGTTTTCCTCATTGAGGGGTTGTGGCTTCTTGGTGCGGGCACCAAGTCACAAGATTCGCCTCAACCATTGTACTGGTTGGGCAAAATTTTGAGCTCGTGGTTTGTGAAAGACTGAAAGATTTTGGTTGCACCCTGAAGCCATGGAGAGACAAAAGGACACAACCGAACACCATACGATGGTTACCAGTACTACTCGTGAGACATCATTGACTCCTTCCCCTTGGCTGGAGCCTAAGGCCTGAGTGTGCAGGCTGGCTCAATTCATGGATTCTATCAAATTGGCAGCCATGCCAGGAAATTCCAGTGTGCCCAAGGCAAGGACCAGCTGGAGGTGTTCAGTTGTTCATCGGCAGAACACGGGCCGAAACCGGCGGGTGTTCTAAACGAACGCCACCGACGACCTGACCATGAGGAGTCCACCTGACCATTTGACCAACCGTGCGGATCGCGGCTGTGTGAGGTCAGTAGAGGCCTCCAGTGTGGATGTGATCCTGGAACTGGGCCGCTCAGCCAGCCCGACACACGTGACACCGAGACCTGACGTTGTGAGACCTGACCTGGGAACACCGTGAGACTTACAGGTTCGACCCGCTGTCCTAAAGTTCTTTTCCGACCTGTTGGGTAAGAAGACCCAGAAGAATGCCAGAACGGACCAAAACCAAGAATTGCATGAGATTGCAGGTGCCAAACCCAGACACGACCCATGGGACTGCCAGTCCGGACTGCTGAGAAACGGCCAGGAGTGGTTGACTGGGGGTCAACTGATCGGCAGAAATGGCAGTCCCATGTTTCCCCCTGCCCCAACCCCCTGCCAGCCCGGATTCACTGCCAGGTTCGGACCGACTGGACCCAACAATGGCGACCGCCCACTCCGCCGACCAAGTGTCCCCAATCACCGTAACTCGGAGGGTGCCAGTGAATCCATACCCAGACACTCCACATATGGCATATATATGCCTATACATTGACCCCTGAAACCACTCCAACTGATCGGCAGTCCTACGGCAGTCCCATGGAGCTCGCAATCCCCGCGTCACCCCCTCCCACCGAAGGTCGCATCCCTCGGAGGTGAGGCCCGAGGGTCTTCGGTGTCGGTCTCCAAATCGAGATGGAATCATACATCGTACTCTCATAGGCTTCCATTTAAATGAAGCCATTCCATACATTCCATGGAACGTAATCTCTTTTCTCAGAATTCCTCGAAGGCTTTAACACCATCGCGTCGCGTTGGTTTCCCTCACCTGCACCCCCAACGACCCATCGAGTCTCGCTCTCCGATTTCGACCCGACGTCCTTTGAGATCGCAGAAACCCCCCCAGGACCCCTCGTACCGAGGTCTCCTGGACGTCCTGCTGGCCGAACCGGACCTGGACGGCGTCCGAGCGCCGAGAGAAGGGTGAGGTCGGACGTCTGCACGTTTGGAGGTCCTAAGAGGTACCTACGTCTGGTGGTGCATCTGAGCTTTCTTGATAGCTAGGTTCAGCACTTTCAACGTTAGATGTGCGCCCAGTTTGGATATGATGTCTTTTTGGTGCTCATAGCTGTGTTTGGGTGTTGAGATGATGAGAGTAACAAGTCGTTTGGCATGAGAACTAAAGCATGAAAGGATGAACACTGTGCATCACTGTGCGGGATAGAGCATGGAGGTTCTTTCTTGCATAGAGCTTTGATGAGATGTCATTTTCGGTTGTCAGGTCTGCATGAGCCTTGATCTATATATTATAGCAGTTGGAAAACCATAGCGTTTGCCCAGGCGTTAAGCCCCCGGGTGTTCTTTGTGGCAACCAACCAACCTTTGCAAAAGAGACCTTGTTACGCTACGTGACAGGCAACAGGGTGCACCATGGGTGGAGCATTGAACTTCGGTGTCAAACGTTTCCCCACACGACCGGTGGGACGGCCATTTTTGCGTGGTGGTTTGGGGGGTCAATGTATAGGCATATATACATCATTATACCAGGTGAATCAAAAGGGTGTCTAATGATTTTTGATGTTCAACTATTTGCAAGGGGCGTCTAATGAGCACCCCTTTCAGTAACACATTCCCGATGTAAGAGAACCCAAGTAACAATTCCGATTTAAGAGAACAACGTGAAAAAATCCCGATGTAAGAGGACAAGGTAGAACTACGAAATCCGAGATCGGGCGACACGGAATGACACGGAATGACACGGTATGGGCTTACATCGGGTTTTCTTAATGAAGGTATGTCCATTGGACACTCCATAGGCTTGAGGGGTGACCAATGAGCACCCCTTGGTTTCCTCGGGTTTTGACCACCGACACGGAATGACACGGATTGACACGCAGGCGGCTGACGTCTCCAACGACCCGAATTCCAAATCCTGTCCATTCACAAGTATCCCTTAAAAAGTTGTGATTCTATACGAGGATCCCTCAAAAGCAGTTGTCAAACACTTAGATTTCTAAGGGGTGTCCAATGGTTTTTAGCTTAAGGGGCGTCCAATGGACACGGTTTCGATCTACCTGGTATATTCAATCTTATACTACCTGTAACAGTCAATGAACATCACTTTAAGAGAAAGGCCCTTACCCAGTGAGAGACTCCAATTCGGAGATCGCCGACCGCGTGGAGTCCCCGACCCCCAACACCCTGCCCGGAAGGCTTTGGAAAAGGTGTGAAAAGGCAACACAAAGCATGCTGGGATAGGCAATTTTATGGCAATATGTGTTGCTTTTTTTCCACATCCAGACACCTTTTGCGCTATTATTTATGGCTCGGATGGCAACATCCTGCTTTGACAGCTGACCCAAAGCATATGCAGATGATGCTGACCCAGGACGTGATCAGAGGCTCGGAAGGGATCCCTTTCCGGCCTTTGGTCCCACGATGCCGCAATGCGAGGCCAGTGGCGGACGAGTCCCACGAGGCCTCCAACCTATGAAGCGCGCTGTCTGGTCGGCTACATGTCCATACAAAGATACGGCTAGCCATCAGGAACGGAAACACGGAGGTGACCCTGGAGCTGGCCGTGAGGTGACCCTGCACGACTGGAGCATTCTGGATGGTGCCAAGTCTGAAGGACACTTTGAATGAAGACTAAAGGAGGCCCTCGTGGCCTGGGCCGCCCCCAGTGATCCTCACCTAGATTCTGGCCAAGCTCAAGGAGAAGCATCCTCAGGCTGCTGAAGCGCCCGCCCGGGCTCACCCAGTGCAAATGGCGCCATCCCGGACAACACCGAACATCACATTCAAAGGAGTGCGAATTTATAGGGATACCCCCGGGCCCTGGCTGGGTAGACGCCAGTCTACTTCCCGAAGGGCTCGGAACGCTGGCGGTTCGGTCTCCTTGATACGCACAGAATGAGCTTCGATCCCTAACTGTCCACGCCAGCATCGGCCTCGTCCACCTCTACCCAGGCAGCCGGTCTTCTTCGTGAGTCCCGGCGCTTGCTACGTGCTGGAGGCGGGATGAGGTGGACGTACTTGCGGTACTTGGTTTCCGAGGTTCACGGCGGTTTGACCCAACAGTATCTCTGCGACTCGCGTCAGCAGTTTTTGTTCTCTCGTTTTCAGCCGCGTCGACGTGACTCGACGGCAATGACTCGGGTGACTCGCCAGGACCGGTGGATTCCACGAACCACGAACGTTCGAACGTTCGGCTTGAAAAGCATTCAAAAGCTAGTCGGCGCCAGCGAGCAGCGAGTCGATGCGGATAGAAAGATGTACTGGGTGTAGGAAGATCTTGAGGTCTGCTCCATCCACTCTGAAACCACTGTATCATAGATCAATAGCTGAGCAAGTCACAATGAACATGCCGGGCAACACTGTCTTTGTTGGATCTTGCTACTGAAGACTGAAGACGTGGTAGTACCTCAGGTGCAGTTCGCGCATGACCGCTTTTAGCCCAAGTCCTGCTTAAGATGTCGAGTGGCAACAAGTTCAAGACGTAAGATGACGTAAGCATAAACTTGTTCACATTGCAAAAACTTGAGAAGGTACACGAATGACACCAAGGAGAAAACAGAAAACAACCAACAACCTCGGATCATCGCAAAACCTGCAAAGGGCCCCCCTCGCAAACTCTGCATCCTGCGGGTCTCCACCTCAGCCACGTCCCCGTCGTCTCACCCCAGAGGCCTCTTGATTTCGGGGTCCACCGACATTCCCAAGCGCGGCATCCCGGGGTGGAGAGGTGTAGAGGCTGTTGGAAGCTGGGATGATGGACTAATATAGAGTATCAGTATATCGCATGCATGTCTAATCCACCCAGTTGAACAAATCAAAGGGTTTTCCAGCAGGAAGAAGAAGCACGTGTACAAGTAGTTGAGCACCCAGGCCTATGGCAGCTATGTAACCCTACTAGATGTCTTTCAAGACACCCCATCGCGAGGTTGCAGGCCTTCACAGGCCTTTCGAACCCTCCAAAGATGAACCTGAAAGCAGCCTGCTAAGCAGGCTTGTTTCAGGGGGCGCCAAGCCGGGCGCCTGCCATCTAAGGGGCCTGAACAACCCTGTGGGGTCTCTTTAACTAACAAAGCCTGCTTGCTTTCGTCCAATCGCTCGGATTTGTGTAACACAGAACTGAGCGTTGCAGGTGGAAAGCAACACAGAACTGCCCACAATTCGGTTACCCTTTTTTTATTGGTGCCATGCCGCCAGAGGTCGCGGTGAGTTAAAGGAAACCTCAAGGAACCTACTAGCGATGGCCTCCAACCTACTAGCTCTTGAGGCCGCGAGACATCGCGCCCATTTCGCTGGATGAAGGCGACCTGCTGAGGTTCCGACTGCCTCTGCTCGCAGAACATCCTGCCGGAGGCGAACGATCAGTCGCGTCGCGGGGAACCGGCATCGGTGTGAGCAGTACCAAGAGAGATTGAGAGACCATATAAGACCCTGTAGTGTTACATATGGGATGCGCTTTTTGGGGCTGTTCAACCTCTCTTGGTATCTTGCGGAGCGGTTTTTTCATGCACATGATACCATGATACCATGATACTTGGTAGATTTTGACATGATACCATGTCTCCCAGACACGACCTGTCTGGGACTGGAATACATGCACATGGACCGTCCGGAAACCACCTCATGATCCTCATATGCCGTGCATATGGAGTGATTGAAACTGGAAACAATCTAAAACAGCGATTTGCACTCGAGGTTCAGGTCTAGCTAGACTTGAAAGCCCTGAAAGGCCACCATAACTGTCGGAATTGTCCCAGACCCCACAACCAAATTTAAGCAATGAGATGATCCTCCATACTTGGTTTTTGTCATTTTATAGACACCTCATAGGTTCTATAGGATTTCTCTAACAGTCGGAATTGCCATTTTATAAGTCGCCTGTTTTTGTCGCTGCTATGCTTACCTGAAGTTTGGGCATTTTACAAATAGGTTGGTTTTGGCATGTTATAGGACATATTCCCTGTATACCCATTTTATAACCAAAATTCTCTATAAAATGCAATCTCTCAGCCGATATGCACAAGTAAGGGGGAAATGAGATGTTGTTCATGGGCCCTGCATCGCGCTGCGCCCGTGCAAGGCCAGGTATGTTGGACAGCCCACTGATGTATGATGTATGTACGGATAGGAGATATAGCGTGCACCACAACTCTCCTCCCTCAGGGAGGTTGTTGTCCACATGCTCCCCAAGCAATAAGCATAGACGATAGTTGTTGGGTGTGAAACCAGAGGTGAACACCCAAAGTTCCGGGACGACGCAGTCCCTCCCAACCTACGACGCACAAACCGCACGCCGTTGGGCCACACCAGTGCCTCGGGGGTCCCGCGCTCCAGGCTGGGCAGAGGCGGAGGTTCTGAGGTCCGAGGAGCTCAGAAGCAAAGGGAGTCGGAGTGAGACCGTTCTGGTGACCGGTGACCGGGGAAGGACGAAGCGATGCCATCCGACGACATCACCATGGAAATGGACGAAGCTCCACCCTGTTTTGTGGAGGAACAATGGTCTGAAACAGGGGCCATGCCATCCACTTTCATGTTAGTTCCAGGGAGTGTAATATTCACCACTTAGAACCTGAGTGAAGCCCTGTTTGGAGTCGTTTGACCATTAGATTCTCGTTGTGATCTTCAATCCGGTATCCGGAAATTCATGGAATTTGCAACTTTTGGGTCACTGCCTCCCCTGAATAAGTTTCGATATGATCCCAGGCCATCCTATGGCAAAAAGATGTTACTTTGGCTCCATTTAGAGATGGGCGGCTGGGAGATGGAGGACAACCTCTACCATCCCCATGGCCGCCACCAGACAAAACACTCCATCCCCATGGATGCGAGCCGATTTGAGGCTCGAGCGCGCCAAAGACTTGGTGCCGAGCTCAGCCGAGCGAAGTGGGGCTCTGATAGTCTCGGTCACCCCGGCAGCTCACTCCCACGCCGAGCCCTTGGGCTGGGAGAGGAATGCCAGGCACGGAGCCGGAAGTCCACCACGGCGTATCATGATATGACATCTGCAGTACATGGTTGTGTTGCGACATGCCTTAGATTTGCAAGGATTGCAAGAATCACCGAATCACCCATTGTTTTTGTTGGTTGGAATGGGCATATGGACGATACTGCCAGCATGCCAAGTCGATGAAGGCAGATGAATCGGGGTTCATTTGGGCGGTGCCAGGTCCATGGTGCTACTGTGTATTTCAGAATCTAGTGGTAACCAAGTGTCAGTATAAAGATCCATGAACTGTTGGGAAAGTGGGGTGCTGCTATGTGTGCCATGGGATGTTTTGATGCGTTTTTGGTGGTTTTCCTGACCCTCCGTGGAATCCATGGTCCATGATGGGGCCATGAGCCCGAGGGAACTGACGCAACAGATCCCGAGGTGTAGTCCCCAGGGGTTGTTTTGGGTCTTAGGGAGGTCCAGATGTTGTGTTTGTTTTTTCCCGTTGGGGCATGTTGGCATATAACAAGTCATCAAATCACCCTTGAAAGTGGGTTGTCATGTTGCCATCAGACAGGCTTGGGGCTAGGGCTAGGTCAAGCCTTTCAAGAGCGCACTCCTGCTATCACGGAGTATTTTTTAAGTGGCTCTGAAAGGTTCCAAGTACACGACTTGGAGGCATGCAAACCACTATGGCAAGTTTCCAAGTGGGCCACTTATAACCTTACAACAGTCCTTACAACCTCTACTGAAACAAGAAAGACGGATTCCATCCAGGAGGCATCCGACAAGTGGCCTTTTCTCAAAGACTTTCCCATCGCACAGCTGGTGAGGATCCGCGCGTTGCCCAGCTGGACCCAGCCTGGGAGGCGGGACCTGACAAGCAGCAAATGCCCAGCAGCAAGTCCAAGGCGAGATGCCAAGCAGCAAGTCAACGGCCTGGCTGTGTGACTCATCCCTTGGCCTCGATCTCGCAGCTGTGGTTGGAACATGTGTTTGACTCTTTTCAGCGGGCGATGTCTAGACTCTGGGAAGCCAAAAACGATTCAATGATCCCCAGGTTCCCCATGACGGAACTGATCCCCGGCTTGGCCCCACCTTTCCAAGATGGGTGTGGATGCGATATATGGTGACTCCTTTCCAAGGTGACCACCGCAGCGTGGGTGCCATCCTTGACTGGGCGAACACCGTGTACGTAGTTCAAAACGGGCTCCATAAAAAGATAACTCCAAATAAGCTACAAAACACCATTCGAAGAAGCGCTGCTTTTTGTTCGAACATCATCCAACGTCCTCATGTCCGAACTTATTTTGGTTATTCATCCCAATGAGTTTTGGCAGGTGGAGAAGATCTTCATCTATGTGAACGTGGCGGCTGGTCAGGTGCCACCGTTGTAGCAGAGGGATTCTTGTATTTCTCCAACAGTGTGGACACACTAGGGGTTCTTACGGTAATGGTTGAGCACCGATGTCTAATCGAGTTGTTGCACGGGCGTGTCTGGCTAATTCGCTGCTATTTACAGTACATTCATGCCTCTCAAAATCGTCGAAGTGCATTCGACTGTGCAGGCTCGCAAAATCTGCGTGGGCGCGGTGGGTGCTTGTCGGGACTGCGCTCTCGTTGTGGTGCCGTGCATATTTTCGGACACGATGGTCACTTTTGGTATATCCCTGAAGGCTTTGCCAAGATAGAGCGAATGCTGAGCATAGCAGACCCCTGCCATGCTTTGGATATCGGAGTGATCACACTCACTCTCACTCACTCGCTCACTCGCTCACTCGCTCACTCGCTCACTCGCTCACCACCGCCACCATCACCACGGTCCCACCTTCATCACCACCATCACCTCTTTGGACCCCAATGCGTTCTCTTGCCGGGAAAATTGTCAACAGTGGCTTCAGTGGTTCGATGGCACGAACCCAAGACGTCTTTTATGTATATAGGGGTCCACCTCTTGAGGACGGAGCCAGCTATAATCAGCCAGTGTTGCAGGGAATGGGATAGACCAAAAATGGCCTGCAGGAAAAGTCTCGGGCGCCAGGTCAT